CTACGGCAACGGGACCCCCCGGTAATGGGGGGGGGGGGGACATTTGGGAGAAGGGTTGTGGGATGCGAGGGGGAATGGGGTGGGGGATGGGGGGGCAGTGGGGTGCGGCCAGGCCCCCCTCGCACCCAGCAGCCGTGTTAATAAGACACCTCCCCCGCAAAACCGGGACCTGGACCAGGGACAGGAAAGCAGCCCCGCAATCCCTGGGGGTCCGCCCCGGCCAGAGCCTGGTCAGGTAGACTAGCAGGAGGTCCCAGGACTTGGTGGGGCTGTGGCTGGGGAGGGTGTGCACAAACAGGCGCGGGGAGTAAGGCACCGGGACCTGGCGGGATGTCCAGGCGAGGCGGTGAAGGGGCTGCAGCCTGGTGCGCTCCAGGTAGGGGGGCGCCAAGGTCTCCCTCTGCTCGGGGAAGGGGGAGTCCGTGAGCTGCGCCAGATTTATGGAGCTGCCGCCGCAGGTGTGCAAGAGCCTAGCACTCGTAAGCGGATACTAGGCTAGATGAACCGTGGGTCTGACCCAGGGCTTGGGCCCTGCTACACACTCGAAGCAAAGCTGGGTAGAAACCGGTGATATTACACATTCTCAAGCACTCACTTGGTAGCTAGTTGGCTCTTTTTATAGCCAGACAGGCATTTTTATCATGTGATCGTGACCGCACATGCGTGGCTCATCTTAATTTATGGCACAGTTTACCAGTTCATCATATAATATATGCGATCATAGAAAGGACCTTTGGTGCACAAGGATCACAGCCATGGGCCCATGAAGAACTGGTTACCCCCACTCTGTTCATATAGGGGGCTGTTAAGTGGGCCTCAACAGATGTGGTGGGACAGCTAAAGCAGTTACAGGGACAGGAGTGGGTTGTTGAAGACAGGACTATTTGATGTGCCCAAGGGCTCTGGGCTTAGGCCAAGCTATAATCCTCCTTTAAAGGGAGGCCAGGGGGAACACGCTGACTAAATACAGGGGACAAATAACAAGAAAACAGGGAAGGGAGCAAAGTTCACGGGCTAATAACGAGGAATCTGGAAGGGGCACACTGGACAGCACCCACTGCCCCCACCTGAATGAATTAAAGGACACCAACTGGTGAACACCAACCAGTGAAATTGCCCAGAGAGGATCCTAGGCTAGGTGAACCATTGGTCTGATGCAGTGTAGCTCTGCTTATGTTCTTCTGTTTAAGGCCAGGAAGCTGGGCAGCGCTTTGCAAAAGGCACTAGCAAGAATCCTGCCCTCCTTCCTCTGGGATTATGACCCACTGACTTAGGAGCAGCAGTTGCTCAAGGGTGGGGCTTAGTGGTATTAAGAGCTGGAGACAGATCCAGGTTTGCTGCCAGCTTCACAAGCTTAGGCAGGGCTGCGATTCTTAGGACTTTAGTTTCTGCATTTGTAAAACAAAGAGCCAGCAAGTTTGAGGCACCACGTGCTCCCTGGCAGGGCTGTACAACAGCAGCACAGTGCTGGTACTTGTCTAGGAAAGGCAGGAAGAGCACGTTGCGCCGCACGCTGGGTCTCATGGGTCACCCCTTTGTTGCAGGAAGAGATGTCGGGAGAAAGCGTGGTGAGCTCAACAGTGCCAGCAGCTGCCACCCGCACCACCTCTTTCAAAGGGTCCAGTCCCAGTTCCAAGTATGTGAAGCTGAACGTAGGCGGCGCTCTCTACTACACTACAATGCAGACCCTGACCAAACAGGACACTATGCTCAAAGCTATGTTCAGTGGCCGCATGGAGGTTCTCACCGACAGTGAAGGTAAAGACAACTGTTCGCGTTGCTGACAGCCATGTGTGTCATCTTATCTAGGGATAACAGAACTTAGTTTGCCACAAGCATTAGGAAGTGGATGCATCATAGACTCAGAGAAATCTGGCTAATTTTGACTGTGGCTAACAGTCTGTACCTCTGAGAAAAGACACAAAACCGGCTTCATAGAAAGTTGCAACTTTCCCTTTCTCCCCGTTATTCAGAGGACAGTAAAGTCCCAAGGTCCTAGTCAAGGACCATTGTTCCAACTTCTAATCTTTTTTAAAAGCCTACTCTTAAGTACTTCAGTTCTATGGAAAAGTGCTATGTTGTGGCTAGAACGGGTTAAGAGTCAGAATTTGCTTTTTTAGTTCAATTCCCAAACATTAATTGACGTGTCTAATTTCTTCTCCTTTACTATGAGGCTAAAAAAACTTACCTGTTGAAGGCTGTGAACCTTGGTATGGGTAAATCCCTTCTGAGATCCTTGGATGAAAGGGTGCTGTCAGGGGAAGACAAGTATTTCGGGCAGAGGGCCACTACTGAGTTTTGGCAAGCCTCAAGGGCCACATGACGGGCAGCCAGGGACAGATCAATATTAATTTTCTAAATTTTTAGGGGCCCCGCGGGTCAGATAGAATGGCCTGGTGGGCTGCATTTTGCCCACCCCTGTGTAACTTCATCTTGCTTGCAAGAGTATTTATTTCTGGATTCTAGAAAACAAACCAGGGAAGCAGTAGGACGTGGCATTCGGCTTACTGACAGCAGTGTGCTTACTAACTCATGTAGACCAGAGCAGCCAAGCAAAAACCTGCAATTAATCTGTAGAACAGCTAGTGAAGGAGTCTCTCTCTCTCTCTTTAGGTGGGTTTGATTATAGAGAATCTGGAATGTGCATAATTGTGCTTTTTCAAAAGACTGTGCTTCAAACTGACTTACTTTCTTCTGAAATATACCTACACCAACGTTACTAAAGCTTGTTTCGTTTTTTTTATTAGATGTACTAATTAATTTAGGCTGCGAAGTTTGTTGTTAGCTGTTCAGAATATAAGGCCCCATCTTATATCAGCCTTCCCAAATTTAGGAGTATCACTGTTTGCCATTCCAAAAACAGGTTTCTATTTGGGTGTTGCAATTTTGCACACACACTGGCCACATCTACACAAGATGGTGACTCTGCGGTAGCTCGTTACTATTGTGCAGTAGCATTGCATGGCACGAAGTAATGAGGTCCTGCGCAGTCAGCATCACTTAAAAGCCATTCAGTGATGCTACTGCATAGTAACTCCGGTTACCATGCAATCATGTAGTACTTGTGTCTGCAATCTCATGTAGATGTGGCCTCTGTCTGCTTTCTTGTTTGCATGTTTAGACTGATGGTCCTTATCCATAGTTTATTAGCGGACTGATCTTAGGAGCTTTCAACCGCCATTCCGCTGGTGAATATATTTATGTTTGAACATGTCATTTCAACTGGTCCAAAGCCTAGTACCCCTTGGCCAGAAGATTTCAACCTGGGTTTTCAGTGCAAAGACTTTTTGCATTTAGAGCTGGTGAGAAATAAGGAGTAGTTCTGACAGAGCCCTCACAACATTCTCCTGTGAGAGGTGGTGGTGAATTCATGGATAACTTGTGAGAGGGGCAATATCATTTAATTTAGACATTTCTATTTTAGGTAGAGTGCTTACCTCTACGCAGCCAGGGAAACAAGTTTCAGTTTTTATATAGAGCTTTTGTAAGTTTTCAGGTATTGAGTAGAATGAATGCTAAAAGATGTTGCCTGGCCCTAAATAATCGGATGTCTCTGGAGTGGGACATGGTGGGAGTTTAATGGTACAGAACATTGCTCAGAAGCTTTAGGATAGGGACTGAGGAATTCCCTTTCCCATAGGGAACACAGAGGAATCGTATGTGAGTAGGTAGGCTATAACTGTCCAAATTAGCTACAATTATTGGAAAGTCTCATGGAAGTTTACTTACCATGGGGCTGTTATTACCATTCCTCTGAGAGACTCTATGGAGCAACACAGCTGCCAACACCACAGCGGAGCTCTGATTCAGTACGGATTGTACGGAAAGAATGCCACCTACTCAACCACTTACTTTCACTTAGGAGACAACACAGTACTGCAACGTACCAAGCACGGTACAGCAATCTAGTCGTTCTGCAGCAGTGGTGAGGATTTCAGCAGTAACAAGTGTAATGCTGCACTGAAAGAACCAATATAGTAGCAGCGTTTGGCACTTCCATCTTGCTGTGCAAATGCTATTTCCCCAGGTCCCTCAGAGAGAACGCCTTACCTGTATTACAGATGAAGAAACATACCCAGAAACTAAGTTTCTTGCCACAGGGCAGAGTGATGTGAATAACACTTGGGGCTTGATTTAAATAGCCGCTCGCACTGCTCACTTGCTGATAAATGGTGTCAGACGCATGGTCTCAGTGCAGAATGCTAATACCGTGTGTCCTTAGAATATGGACTTGGCTTTTCTGTGAAGGGACACATTCACTTTCCTATCAGGGAAGGAGTTGAAATCGATATCGTTAAGAGGAGCATAAAGATGACTTGAAGCGTACCAAGTTTTGGCTGTAAGATTTGTGAATCTCAGTCCTGTTGTGAAAATGCCTCATTTGCTAGCCAGCGCTCGTGTTTTACCGGGACCTTAACACTACTTATTTTATATTTCATGCTGCAGTGGTTCATACTTTTATCTTCCACTCCCTGGAATTTCTTGGGAGTGTATTTGGAAATCGGGACAATAGCAACAGAGCTATAAAGGAAGGCACTCTTATCTGAAAGCTTTCGAAATATTTGTATTCGGTCACACCCAAACTGGTACAAATAAGAAGCGTTTCCAGGAAGAGCAGTTTAACTTGAAGAACATGGAAAGAACGAGGGAACTTATTTAAACAAGCTGCGGCATCTTTCACATGGAAAATCCTCCTATTTCTTTGGCTCCAATTGCCATCACTTAGGCTCTTCCCTTACCTAAATAGAAATATACTTCTCAGCCCACAGGAGAAACTGCCCCCATTCTCTGGCTGTGCTTGGCAGGTGCCTCCATTTAGTTGGCAGGTTTGGTTGCAACCTTCACAAATCTGCATCTTACTGCTGTGGCAGGATAGAAGAAAGGCTCTTTGTGGGAGCATGCTGTCTCCTCCCAGAGCTCTCCAATGAGATTAGTTAGTCCCCGTGTGTGTGTGTCCCCAGCCTTCTGCACAGCATTTGAGAGGAAATGTCTAGCCTCATCTACTTTAAGAAGGAGCACTCCAGGTCTCTTGCCTTCAATGCTGCAGTGCTATTTTACTTGTTCAGCCTTGGCCAGAAGGTGCAGCTTGCTTTGGTTTCAGTATTTGGGTGCCATTTTCGTAGAGCAGATTAAATTCTCATCTTTCTCAACAGTCTAGCATATCTTTATTATACCATCTGGGGATATTAAGCCCCACAGGCATTTTTGTATTACAGTGATTAAAACTCAGCTGTGAAATCTGCTTTTCCAGTTCTGCCTGGGTCAGACCGAGTGGCAGCTGGCACCCTTCTTATGGCTTAGTCATTGCCTTTAGGCTGTGTGTTGAGGCTAGCTGGACGGAGCAGAAGCTCTTGTGAAGTCACTCCAATGGGGTTGCTAACTATCTCTGAGCTTTCTCTGTATTTGGCACTGGAAACTCTCTCTCACCCTCCCTACCACTGCCTGGGGGCATTGGGAAGTTAGCACTCCTGCTGTGGTTTTTCCTCCCAGCAGCCTGGAGAAGTTGGCTTACCCAGTCCACAGGAGGCATCACAGTCAGCTGGGAACTGAGGCGGCTTGGGATCCTAGCCCTATGCTCAGGACATGCCCCTTTTCCATCCCTAGATGCTTGTGTTACCAGCTGTTTAGCCCATTGTAGCTCTGGGCTTTGGGTAGATGAGACCTTTGTTTACTGCCTGTTTTATGCTCTCTTCCCCCTTTCGGTGACATAGCGCCACTTGGGGTATCTCTGCACGAGACAAAGATCCTCACTTCTGCTGCAGCCAGATATTGCGTGTATTGTTGTCTTGGAGCACTGCCATCTACACTACATGTTCTTTCATCCCTTCATTGGTTTGCGACAGGTCTACATTTCCATCCTGGCTCCTTGCAGCCCCTATGGACCCAGACCCTGACCCCAGCCTTACATCTACATTAATAGGTGTGGAGGAAAAACGCATGGAAGAGTCCTGCTGGAGTCTTACTAATTAGCTGAACAGCAGGCAAAGCTTATGCTGCACCCAAAGCATTACCCAAATAAATCGGGGTTTACTTGTAATTCCACTCATTCAAAACATCCGGTGTGCATTTTCCCTGCTTTCCCTTATTTGTCCAAAATATGAATCCTTTCCCACAAGTATTTCCTTAGTGCATTCCTGAGTCCAAGCCCATAAAAGGCTTTTTTGGTAGTTTATGGAAACTTGAGCCTCCAGATTGCATAGCACCTTTCAGTGTTCATTTGGTCCGGTTCAGGAGAGGCCTGGGTATTAGACGTGAAACACTGACACACTGTTCACAGATTTACACAAGGAAAAACACTCTGGTTCTTGCTGGAACTTCTTCTCATCTCCATTAGTACTCCTGGCAAATACTGCTACAAAGCGTTCTTGTCAGCATGAGATTGCCTTTCCTATGGGAATTTTAGAAACAGGCTGCTGGTAGTTAGTTCAGTGCTGCTCTTCTGGTTCAATGCTGGTTGGAAGGAATGACATTGGAATGGGGGTGAAAGGGATACAGCCCCAAATCTGGAGCGTCTGCTAGTTGGTTTTCTCCTTCCTCTTCAGCCTTCATACATGGGGGAGGGGTTCATTTCAACCCACATCTTCCCTTGCTGCTGTTAAAAGTAAAGCTAGGGCAGCAGTCAAGCAGTCCCCCAAGTGTCTGGGGATGGGGTAGGCAAAGCACTTCTTCAGCATCCAGACGTGGGGCAAGAAACGCATGTTAGTCTGTGTTGTGGGAGGGGGAGTCTGTTGCAGAACAACACACAGCTCCAGTTGGCTTAACCATTCATCAGTGCTCCTGAACCAGGGAAGCTGTAGGCCACCGGAAACCTGGGTCTAGGAGCTGTGATGGGGCACCAGGAGTTCAGATTCCCAGGTTTCTTTTCCCATGTCCATTCTTGACCAGCCATAGCTTCCACAGGCTCCGTCCAGCTGGCAAGTCTTCTCTTCTGCCCCATTCAAGTATCTTCTCAGCCGCAACCGTACAAAGTTGTCCTGGTAGCTGTTTCTGTGGGAGGTGCCATGCTGGGTGGGCAGGGGAGTAGGCGAACAGCTCCGCAAATGGAGGCAGGATTCCAGGGGAAGGAATGTGTGGATACCACAGAAGAAACAGATCCCAGCTGCTTGGTTTGAGGCGAGCAGCTACTGATGTTGTCACTATTTCAGTTTTAGCCATTCACTTGTGGCTGGGGAGCTGAAGGAAACAAAATGAGCTTCCTGCCTCCCCCCACACACACACACTTAAAGGAGTGTGGAAGATGCAGACAGAGCAGATTCCCTGTGCAAGTGCAGCCTGCTGCTGGGCTGGTTGCCAGCTCGGGCAGAGAGCTGGGATTCTGGAGTCAGTCACCCGGCAGCCTCCAGTGCAAGCCCCATATGAGACCCTCCTGTCCGTCATGCTGCAGCACATTGTGCCTACATCCTGGCCAGCTGGCTCCTCGGGCCAAGGAGGGTGAGGGATTTTGCCAAGTTTTCCCTTCCTCCTCTCCAGCTGTGCCCCACTTTGTCCCTTCCCAGGCTGGATTCTGATCGACCGCTGCGGGAAGCACTTTGGAACCATCTTAAACTATCTGCGTGATGGAGCCGTGCCGCTTCCCGAGAGCCGCAGAGAGATTGAAGAGCTGCTGGCTGAGGCCAAGTACTACCTGGTCCAGGGTTTGGTGGATGAGTGCCAGGCCGCCCTGCAGGTAGGTGTCAGCCTCCTTACTATGGGGCTAGTGAGGAGTCCTGGCATCAGCCCCAGCTGCTTGAAGGTTCAGTCTCCTCCGCTTGTTCCATCAGGCCCCCTTCCTACGTGGGTGGTGCTGAGGGAAACTGGCTGCTCGCTTGGGACCGTTAATGCTTCCAAGTCCTTGTTCCAACCCTCTGACTGAGCTTGTCCACATGGCAGGGTGCTACTTTGCTGTATAGTACATAGCTCATCTCCCATGTGCAAAGGTTTCTGGGCTTTGTTATCGCTGCATCACTTTTCCACATAGCGCTGGGTCCTCAGAAGGTATTTCCATGCTAGGAAATAATGTATTGATCCTGGCAGGCTGAAAGAGAAAGCACATGGAGGAGGGAGCAGTGGAAGGGGAGGCGGATGGTGGTATCCTCTCTCAGGAGTGGTTGCTATTTTGAGCTTATGGCATTGAAGTGTTGTAGCGGCAGACTGGATACAGGAGGAGAGAAATATACAGTCTGTGCTCTGTAGGTGGGTGAGGAGCATTGAGGGACATTTAAAATGCTCAGATGTGAGCTGAGCAGAACCCCTCTGTCTTGTGTACATGAAGGAAATGCCACTGGCTTGCATCCTCCCCATATGGAGGAGCCCTGAGCAGACCCACCAACTACCAGTTACGTCTCTTGACGGCACCACCCTCTTTCCATAACGGAAACCCAGCATAAGCTAACAGCTGCTCCCACTCTTCTCCAGCTCCCGACTGGGTGTGCGCAGGCCGACTGGTCACAGGGCTGGGTTTCTGGCCCTGCTCCAGGGTATTCACGATCCCTCATTGTCTTCTCCGTGTCTTGCATGAAGAGGCCTGGCTTCCAGCCTTCTGTCACCTGCATCTCTAGCATCATCCAGAGCAGAAGATGGTGGCATAATAAGATTTATATTGTGTGGCTGCATGTCTCAACTGCAGGGTGACTCTGTTAAATGCAGAGCAGACAAGCCCTCCCAACCCTCCCTGCAGCAGTTATACTGCGGAAAAAGAAAATGTCAGCAGGCTAGAAAAACTCCCATAAATGAAAGAGGAGTCATGACACATGACCCCAGAAGCCAGCGCCTTAGGCACAGGTAGATAGAACCCATGAATTAATGTGGTTCTGGGCATAGGGCCCAGTTTCCCAAAGACACCACAGCAGTCTCTCTTACGGCTCCTCCCCTCAGTGGGCAGGGTTGAGATGGGAAGCAGCAGGTAGTGCCCCCATACCCTGTCGTGTCTGCGGAGAGGCAGGCCACTGCCAAGCTCCAGGAGATGACGAGCCACTGCTCTGGCTAACAGCAGGTGTCAGGATGGAGGAAGGCCCTGACATCAGTTTCCTCTCATTGCTGGCTTTGTCTCAGCAGAACAAAGACGCGTACGAGCCCTTCTGCAAGGTGCCAGTCATCACATCTTCCAAGGAAGAGCAGAAACTCATAGCAACGTCTAATAAGGTAAGGAGGCATGGGCTGGGCCACATCCCTGCGGTGGGAGGTGCGGGGGGGGCTCTCCCTCACCATTGCCAGGCACTCTCTGGAGCACAGTAGTTTAATTCCACAGTGATACGTGCTCAGCTTGAGCGCTCCACGTGAATCAGAGATCAGATGCAACGAAGCTAGGTCTAAACAAAATACAGGGAACGCAGAGGGCAGGCTGACGTAAGGGTTCCGTAACGGGATATTTCAGAGCCTTTCATCTGCTTTACCAGCCCAGGCTGGGAGGGGCTGACACTTACCTCAGATAGAATGAGTTGGCAGCTCCAGTTTCTAGTAGCTGATCGCTACGCTGCTCCCGGCAGAGACGGAAAGGACAAAGGGCAGCAGAGAATGAATTCTGACCTGGTCCTCCCAGCAGGGAAGCCCTCTCCAGGCCTGATAAGAGATGCCTGTTGGGAAAGCTCTTGCTGTTCCTATCCTGGGGATGAACAGAAACCTGCTGGAAGGGTTGTTACTCCAGCATCTTGTCACAGCAGTGAACTTACCTCACAGCACGCACATCTTTTTCTGAGTAAACCCCCAGCTGTACTGTAACTAGCCAGTTAAAAATTGCTCTAACCAGCTTTCTCTCTGCAGCCAGCAGTGAAGTTGCTGTATAACAGAAGTAACAACAAATATTCCTACACCAGGTAAAGTCTCCTGACTTCAACTGTACCAACCATTTCCACTGGGATTTTTAAAAAATGTGTAAAATCAGATTCACGGAGCAGCAGTTGCTTTCCCTTTGCTCAGAGCCAGCCAACAGTATTGTTAATGGGCAGTGACTGCTTTTTCCTCCCCACGTACTTCATGGATTCACTGTTAACTAGCTTAAAAGGGAGTGACCTTTCCCCAGTTAAAAGCTACTGACAACATATAGTTTAATTGGGAACCAGCTGCCTCTAGTTCACACTGGTGTTGACTTGTGTCCTCCATAGACCATTCACCGCCGTCATGAGACCTGGCAGAGCCCTTTGACCCCTGGCTAGCTGCCAACATACTTCTGAGCGAGGCAGTTTTATAACAGCTGATAAAACAGTCGGGTTGGGGTCTTGTCTTTGTCCATATTGGACTCGCATCATGTGTCATGGTCACAGCCCAGCAGATGCTCAGCTTGAGCTGAAAAAACATTTTAGTTAGGGTGATGGCTTTTTATACATAGGTACGGTGTCCTTTAGCAATATTACGCAGAACCCCTGAAGGCCAGC